AGTGGCCGCGGTCTTTTTCTGTATACCTTTTTAACGGAGCAAGATGAAGACCTGCGGCTTCCAGTGTCTTGTAGTCAGGACCTGACAGCATCTTTCTATGTATAAATCAGTTCTACCAATGAGGTCTACCACTGTGTACCTGATCGATGTTGTTGCAAAGGTAAGAATGCCGCTCCCTACGTTTTCGCACAAGTCTAGTGTTTGAAAATACGTCCAACATAGCGCGACTTACCCGACAGCTCCATCTGGGATCGTTCGGACAGGAGTGGACTTTTCCCAAGACACCTCAGAACCAGATTTTATTGATATTTAGAAATTTAAAAACGCATGGAGACATAGATTATTGAGCGCGCTGAATCATGCGACAGCATGTTTTTCGAGAAACGTTCAAAAACCTAGTGAAAATCTATATTAGGTGAAATAACCCATTTCTGTCTATATTCGCGTAAAATTAAGAAATTAAGAAATAAAAATTGTTTCCACCGAACCGTCTAAAAGCGATTTTTTGAAAAAGAAAGTTAGACAAGCTCGTGAAAGGTACCGCGAGTGCATTTATATAAGCGTTTTAGACGGTTAGATGAAAGGCGTTTTATTCAAGTTTTGAGATGACTAGCTAGCGTTGAGTCATGTGCAGTTTTTAAGCACAAAACCCATACCCATTTCCCAGCCATTTTTACAAAAATAAATTTTTTGTTTTCGTTTTAGAAAAATGTTTGTTCTACATCTATAATGACTCAAAGAAGTTTTGTATGTGGAGATCTTTGAGATTTGTATCAAAGTTAAGAAAAGTAAGAAAATGATGAAATATATGTCTATCCCAAATAAAGTTCAAAAACTTCCCTCCATCGAGTTTCGACGAATGAAACTTTTGAACAATGATCCTCGATGTGCTCTTTCAAACTAGACTACAAATTCATTTCACTTATTGGAAGAAAAGTCATTATTAAATTTTCGTAGCGATCTTTATACAAAATCGTTACCATGAGCAGTCCTCAAGAGACAAAACGCTCATTTCAGAGAGACAAAGAGCTCATTTCGGAGTATATATGTAAAAATAATCTCGACTTTATCTCTCATACTGGTTGGGAAAATTAAACTTTACTCTGACATCTACAGCAAAAAACAGCTTTCTATAACGAGCGACACCTCTTAGAAAAATGCTTATATTTCTTGAGCTGAAACTTTCAGATTATTCCTAAATGTGTTTCATCTTCATACTCTAAAAGACTCTTAGGGATTCAACTACGACACTTTCCTCTATCAACTAGCATAAGATCAGTGAAAACGGAGTTGGACACCAGGGTAGGTTTCCTCGTTAGTAGTCAGGAACAAACACACCACCATAATTAAAAGACTAAGAGCAATTAGTATTTTACAATGTTTTATTGTTATTTTTATATAGAACTTTTTCTAAGATAACATTGTTCATTTTATAGAAGGAAAAACTTTAAAAATAAGAGATATTCTGGATAGAAGAAAATTGAAAGTTATTTACATGTTTCTAAAGATCACACATTTATTTCTGAAATAATAATAATGTCATCGTCCTCAACGCCTATTGAATATCTCATTATCGATTTTCTAATAATAATAACAAGTTTTTCTGCTATAATTTTCTCATTATATATTATTTCAATTATTTTATTTAATAAACAATTAAGAAAAGAAATTTCTATTATATTAATTTGTAATTCATGTATAGCTTCTGCATATGGATCATTAATGTTATTTATAATTTATGTATATGTTTTTTACAATGATTTTATGAAACGTAAGTTGTTAACGAGCGTTGTTAAATGAAACTGAAGTAAGAAACAAAATAAAATGCGTTAGGCTTTTGAAAATCACTTTTTAACGCATGTGCAGCATGCGACTATGAAAGCCATGAAAAAAGCTTTTTCATCGAAATTTTTAGCCCACTAGGAGGAAAGGATTGACTTCAGGTAGAAGTAGAAGCTGAAAGATCCACCGATTTAGAATGATTGCTACGATTAAAAAACATAATAATAGCTGTAAACCACGCTCCTAAACAAACTAAACCCGGTGTCACAATCAGACGTGTTAGACGGTACATCGCGCCGTCGTCGATAAAATAGGAAAAAATCACGCCACCCCCGTCGAAGACAGCAAAAGAATGTTGTGACTCATCGCCGCCTATCAAGTAGCATTTTAGCTGCAAAATTGTTAGAAAACTAATTGTTGCGAAAATTTTGAGAAAATTTCACATCGCTAAAGGCAGAAATAAATTTATGACTCATCCATCGTCGGTGAACGACTAAACCTTTTTCACGCCGCCGCCGATCAGTTTTTCGGGTAACATATATAGTCATAATAGGACGACGTGTTGTGATATTTTGTACACCACAATAATAGTTTGTTTGGGAGTGTCGCTCTACCCTAGTCGAGACTCCGGCAAAACTCCCACGGGGCTCCTGTCACGGGGTCCTGCGGGATTCTGTAGGAGTCAGGTGGGACTTTCAAGGGATTTCTCAGGACTACTAAAGACTCCCGTGGGATTTCTGTGGTGCTTTCGAGTCCTGCGGGAGTCCAACGAAAATCCTCAGAATCCTCAGGTCCCGCGGGAGTCATCAGGAGTCCTGAGAGATCCCTTGAAAGTCCCATCTGACTCCAGGATCCCGTGACAGGAGTCCCGTGAGAGTTTTGCCGGGAGTCTCGACTAGGGTAATATGTTCAAACGTAAAAAAAAATTTTCGACTTTAATTCAGGTGTTAGTAACTCAAGTGGACTTGGTAAAAAAATTAGAGTTAAGAGTTGAATTCTTAACTAATAATTGTTCAAAAAGCTTTGCTAGAGGAGAGATCAACGGAATGATATTGAAGAAAAGACTCTCTCGACACAACCGAGCGACATGTTATAATACGCCTCGCAGATCAAAGTTTTAGGATGTCGGTCTGTCCTGTTTGTGGGTTTACTTGCATGTTTCAGCTTATTATCATGGAGGTTTTACAGGTATAAAAATTGCACGATGAAAGGCTTTTTCTCGAAAATAGTTAAAATATCTACATAGTTATATAAAAAAGCTAAAGCTAAAATAGCTAAATTAGAGTGGACAAGAGTACAGTGAGAAAAAAAAATTGCGGACACCACTAGATCATATAATATGATAGTTCTTGAAAAGTATTTTTGCTGTAAAGAAGTTTTCTATATAGTCTTAAAGCACTTTTCAATCGCTGACATATAAATCATTGAATTTCCATTGAGTTTGACGGTGAAAATCAATACATAACTGCCATGTGGCAAAGGCTATAAAAATCAAGGCTTTGATTGGCTAACTGGTACGCTGGTAGCCTGCGGGAGTGAAGGGAACGCCTCTTCAGATATCAGCATCTGACCAGAAATGTGCTCTTTGTTCATAAAATACTTTGTTTTCTACTTTATGTGCAGGTAGTGTACCACACAACATCACCACTCATAATACAACTGATTTTAACATCAAACAATGTCAATTACGTGGATATTTTTTAGAAACTTCCTTATCATCTCTCTATATATCATTTGATTTACAAGCTATTTATCGTTTATGTCATATTGTATTTTATAAAAAGTCATATTATCATAAAAGTGTAACATTTTATTTTGTATTAATCTGTTTAAATTGGATATATAGTTTCTTAAGGTAAATCGAAAGGTTGTCATCCTTGTAGTAGAAAATACCGACTCATACTCGCCATGTATCATTTATACTGATAGGCGATAAGCGTTCCTGCATCTTGACCTTGTGTCTTAATTCGTCACTCAAATGATTGAATAACAGATCTTTTGCTATAAACGTTTCCCTAGTTTTCCTTATTGTTTAGAATTATGAAGACGAGGAGGCATTTTTATCACCCCTTGGTTGCGATTTTCTATATACTATGTATTCAAGAGTAGAAAATAAAACGTCGTGAATGAGGTGTGAGATTTCCATCCCGAACCGGTCTCGTAGATTTGAAACCCATCCAGAACCCGAACCCGCCAGAACTTTCTCAGGGTCCGGATGGCTTCGAATAAAACCTGTCCCGAACTCGCTCAAGCTCGAAATATTTCTTTTCTAGTGAAGTACTGCTCTCTTTCATTTTAACATTAGTAAATTTGTACTCGTAGAGTTACAAAAATAAAATTCACTTGGTCGGTTGTACGTCTAGTGCGAAACATCTGTCCGTTTCCTCTATTTTCCATTGTTTTTTATTTATTTAAAATTGTCCCTTATCTCCGTCTCTATCAGCCTAGAAGAATCGGGATCGGAAACAAACCCGTTCCGAATCCGATCCCGAAAAACAGCTTTCGGGATCGGGTTAAACCCCCAGGACTCTAGTGAGGAGGCGTTCGACCCCCTTCGGGAGACCGTTCCATCACCCCTTGGTTGCGATTTTGTTTATAGTACGTATTCAAGACACGGAATTTGAAACGTCGTGAATGAGCTGTTGATCCCGCATCAGCGGGAGATTTTGACATAAGCGATAACTGATAGACGATAAGCGTTCCTGCATCTTGACCTTGTGCCTTAATTCGTCACTCAAATGATTGAGTAACAGATCTTTTGCTATAAACGTTCCCCTAGTTTTCCTTATTGTTTAGAATTATGAAGACGAGGAGGCATTTTTATCACCCCTTGGTTGCGATTTTCTATATACTATGTATTCAAGGGTAGAAAATAAAATGTCATGAATGAGCTGTTGATCACGCATCAGCGGGAGATTTTGACACGAGGTAGCGCATGTCTAATGATAAATAATAAGTGACGCATGTGGTGTTCTTGCGAAAACGTTTCTCATTCATTTCTTTTTTTAAGTCAATTGATATTTTATTTATCTGGATGGTTCGAATATGTTGGTGAAAATGAATATTTCTGTGAAATCAATTTTATAAATACAGTTCATTCAGTGGTTTGAGCCATAATTGTCTACGGTATACCACTGAGTTTTTTGGGTGTAATTTATCTATGGATATCGCAATATGTGCGCACAAGAGTATCAACAGTATCAACCGTACAACATCATATGCATATAAAACGTCATACGGAAATGTTAAAACGTGTTCTAATACCCGTTTTTATTTTATTAGCACTTGGTATACCATGTATGTCATTTATCATATCGGCAGCCATAGAAAATAATGGTACAATCAATTACTTATGTTATCGTATCTCATTTTTTTTCGTTTCCATAGGGGCTAACATTATGCCTATAGCTATTATTCTACTAACACCAAATATAAAAGCAGCAACTGGAAGAAGAAGAAGACGAAAGGTCGCTTCAGTAACTGTATTGGCCACACGGCTACCTGAAGAATCGTCGTATTGTCACACTGGTCGACGCTAGTACTTCGTCAGAACGTTTTGTATTAAGTTTAGTTCCACAACGCTCGGCTTTAGGGGCTCTCCTTTTTCTAGTTTATATTAATGACTTGCCAAGTATTTTAGATAACATTTGTTTTCTTTTTGCTGATGACTATTCTATTCACGTGAAGGACAAAGATTTAGATTTAGCTATTGTGAAATAGCTAAATCTATTTAATAAATTTTTTTATAAATTTTTAGGTATGCTCTAAAAAGCGTGTCTAAAAGAGTGAAGACGAGCTGGCAAAAATTGAACAAGTATACCAGTTTGTAGGAAATTGTTTGCTCTACAAGATGTGATAGCTTGTCAAGTTCGAAACTGTTCTAATTAATCTGTATTAATCAAAGAAAAACGAGAAAATTTTTTTGTCTGGTTTTTCAGACACTTTTCATTTTGTAGAAAAATGTTTAATCTAGTCAATTATCTAATTGTCATTTACGATTAGTTTGTAGCTTTATTGCAATAACTTTTATTTATATTCTTAAAGGCCCTCTCCCTCAGAAATTATCTTCGACACCGTGCATCCGACCTTGACGAAACTTTCCATAAATGTTAGGCACAATGAGTTACGGAGATGAAAAAATTTTTTTGTCTCTAAGTCATACGGTTTAGAAGTTCTTCAGAGATCAAGGTCCAAAAAGGACCCTGAAGTGCGTTTCAAGATTTTTTAATATACTTTAGGCTGGAGAGTTCGGGTTTGTTTTATTTTAAACTAGACACCTAACTACGTCGATTGACCGGCGTCGACTTTCCAGTTAAGCCTTTATTGGTTTGCCTGGCAACCAACAACCTCTAAATCCCGAAAAAGCCTTCAGATTTTCTAAAACTCCTCAGTTTGACAAAAAACTAAGACCTAATTCAAAAATCGACGCCGGTCAGTCGATGTAGTTTCTTTTCCTCTTTTTAACAAAAAAATAATGAAGTCCCTACGACAAATCGCTATTAAAAGTCTTGGGACGCACTTCAGGTGTAATTCTTATATAGTGAAAAACGTGTATTAAACGCTGTATGAAATACTCGATTTCAGAACTTCTAGGAAAATGCCTGTAACTTTTTGATGCAAGGTCATACAAAGTTGTGCGACGTCTTATTTTGATGAGCAACGTTTGCTCTACAAAGCTGTGTGTGAGGGTGAAAAATCAGAAAAATTTTAATTGTCTAAGTGTCCAGGAAAAAACTATTATTTGTAGATCCGGTTTTTTGAGGCTAAAACTTGTTCAAAATCCCCAAAAAACCAGTTTTGTAACCAAAAGCAATACAGATTCTGGAAGCAGACACTTCAGGCTATCTTTCCATGTGCGTATCTCAAAACCGATTCTTTGACCGAAAATCATCATTTCTGAGGGAGGGAGGTCCTTAAGAAAATGTAACTGGGTAGTCTAAGGTTCGAAATACTCCGTAGTATCTCAGCAAACCGGTACGTTGCTGAGATACTTTCCAGGTAGGTCAACGTCGTTCACGTTTATATTATCCAGCCATTTTCTCCTTAACTACTCCACGTTATATATCATTCGATAGAGAACTACACGGGCTACACAGTGATATATAAAATATTGAGAAAAAATTTAACTAGGCACCCTCAGATTCCAAATACTTGGTAACATCTCAGCAAACCAGTAGGTCAACGTCGTTCATGTTTATAATAATAAGTTATTTTAGCGTTAACCATCGTACTTTATATATCGTTCGATAGAGAATTTAACGAGCTTCAAAATGAGCTATAAATAAGTCTTTCAAGAGTTGGATAGCCCTTGAAATTTTCTACAAAGCGAAGTGGTCAGAATATCCAGGCAGATGGGGCCAGTCAGTAAAGATATGAAAAAGAAGCGCTCGGGCGTTATTTATGCAGTACAGCGTGTCATAATCATAAGAACTTCTTTGGATTTAATTTTTTAGTAAAGGTTGGAACCAATCTGAATACTGTTTTGAATAACCTGAAGATTTTTCTATCAGGAGAGATGCCTAGCGCCGTTCCATGTTAAAGGTTGATAACAGGATTTCTGGAAAACCTGACAGGTAGAAAATCAAGTCCTTCGTTTTAGTCAGAATATTTTGCAAGTAAATTTTTGAGTATCTTCGACGTTCTTTGTAACCAATCATAAATCGACTACGGCGGCGTGAAAAAGCATTATAGACCGCCGGAGGATGTCTTATTTTTCTTAGAATTCTATGCTCTGTCAGGCCATATGGTATATAGGACACCAGCGCACCCGTTAGCCAATCAAAGCCTTGATTTGGTGAATTTGGGGCGGGTGTGTGTGTGTGTGTGTAACGGCTCATCGCCATTACATTGTTCTCCATGCTTGATCTTATTGCAGTTTATAAAAATTCTTAAAACTTCGAAGTTTCGCGGGTTTTAGTAAGAGAGATAATAGAAGAAAGAAATTATGTATT